CAGTCGTATTACTGGTGGAGGAGCTACTCAAGTCCCATGTGGAAGAACTGACTGAGGAGGACCTGGATGAGATTGTTAAATCTGCCCTGAGTGATGACGAAGACGACGAGGATGAAGAGGTAGTGGTACAGTCACAGCTAAATCTTGCCAAACTTAACAAGGTCATTTTAGCAGCCAAGACTCTCTCAGACCTGCTGGCTGAGATGCAGCCCTTCATGGAAAGAAGCTTGAAGTTTAAGTGAGGGCTGGAAGACCTCATGAAACCATACAAGGAGGTTCATCCAGAAAGATCTTTGAAAGAAAATGAAGCAGCCATCCATCATTAGTTTCTTTAAAAGACCCATTACTCAACAGTGAACCTTGTTTTAACCTATTAAAGGTAAATAAAAATGACTTTTATACACTGTATGTTCCTTTACTATTCATATTCAAGTCCCTAACCCCATTTTTCCCATAAAAAAGTTTGGGTGACAGTGATCAGCGCCTGCTGGAATTTACTATCCAGTGCAGGGTGGTGAAAGCAAGCAGCAGGCAGAGGTCCTCGACTTCAGGAGGGCCAACTTCTGTAAGCTAAGAAGGTTAGTAGGAGAGGCATTCGGGTCTCGGAGCTTCAATGAGATGGGAGTCCAAGACAGGTGGCTGTTCCTTAAGGAGACAATCCTCCAAGCTCAAAGGGAGTCAATCCCAATGCGCACCAAGGGGAACAGGATTTCTAAGAAGCCCCTATGGCTCGGCAAAGGCATCTAGGGATGCCTGAGGGCAAAAAAGGAGGCGTACAAACAGTGGAAGCAAGGGGCTCACCTCACCAAGGAGGATTACACCTCCGTTGCTCGGGACTACAGGGAGGCTGTTAGGAAGGCCAGGGCAGAGATGGAGCTAGGGCTGCCGACCAGAACCAAGGATAATAAAAAGTCCTTTTTCAAATACATAGGAAGTAAGAAGGCACCAGGTAACATGGGGCCCCTAAAGGATAGGTCTGGCAATCTGGTGATTGCAGCAAATGAAAAAACTGACCTCTTTAATGAATTCTTTGCCTCCTGAACAGGGACTGGGACATCTCCCCCACTAGAATTGCGGATGGACCCAAGGGAAGTGCCACCATGCCTAGGGTAAAGGACGACCTAGTTAGGGAACTTTTGGAGGGGCTGAAAGTGTTTAAATCAGTAGGTCCAGATGCTCTTCACCCAAGGGTGCTGAGCGAATTGGTGGTGGTCATAGCATGGCCCCTGGTACGGCTCTATGAGTGCTCATGGGGCACTGGCCAGGTACCAGAGGATTGCAAAAGGGCCAGTGTGGTCCCCATTTACAAGAAGGGGAGAAAGGAGGAACCCGGCAAGTATAGGTCAGTCAGTCTTACCTCAGTCATTGGGAAGATCTTTGAGAAAATAATCAAGGAGCACATCTGCAAGGGCCCAGCCGGGGAGGTAATGCTCAGGGGCAACCAACACGGGTTCACTGAGGGCAGGTCCTGCCTGACTAACCTGATTTATTTTTATGATCAGGTCACAAAGTCCTTGGATGAGGCTGTTGGGGTGGATGTCATCTTCCTGGACTTTAAGAAGGCCTTTGACATAGCTTCCCACCCCATTCTCTTAAAAAAAACTAGGTGACTGCAGCATTGATGCCTACACAGTCAGATGGGTGGCAAATTGGCTAGATGGTCACACCCAGGGAGTGGTTGTGGACGGGTTGTTTTCGACCTGGAGGGATGTGGGCAGTAGAGTCCCCCAGGCTCGGTTCTGGGGCCTGTACTGTTCAACATCTTTATCAGCAATCTGGATGTAGGTGTACGAACTTCACTTCATCAACTGACTGGATACAAAATATCATGGACAAATACAGATATTGGATTCATGGCACATTATAACCTACCTAATATCTGTCTCCCCAAGTACCTCTCTACTATTTACCAGCTCAGAGGTTGTCAACCTGGAGTACACGTACCCCTGGAGGTACTCTGAAAGGTCCCAGGGGGTACGCAGGGAAGGAGCACCGCCACCCTGCACCACTGCCTCACAGGAGCAGCGTTGGGGCAAGGTAAGAGTAGGGTCATACAGATACTGTGTTACCACCACTCCGCTGCTCACCATGTGCCCGCTCCACGTCCGGTCACTCACCATTCCCCCTGTCCCCACAAACCCAGCTGCTTGCCACCCCCCCCCCCCGTGTCTGCCTGCATGCCATCCCCCTGGGGGGTACACTTATTAAAAAAAGTTGAAAATCCTTATACTAGCTACATTCATTTCCCTTCCACCCCCCACCTGTCTCTCATCCATTGACTACCTCAATTTACATTTTCATTGACTGACTTTCTCACATGCATACCAGCCTCTGACTTCTTTATTATTCCATCCAGGAAGAGCACAGACCCACTACAGACACTTCCTCAGCCTGATGAAGAGTACTTTTACCTAAAAGCTTGCGAAGAAGAATTTTTCCACCTATTTGAGTTGCTCTAAAAAAAAAAAAAAAAAAAATTGGATTTACCCAAAGAACCTTGTCTGCCTATGTCCTTAGACCAACACAACTACAACCTATAACTCTATTTAAATCATGGCCATTCAGCGTCAGTGATTGACAAATTGTAATACTGATGAATACATGGACCAAAACTGAAATGCCCTCTGTGTCAGAGAACTTTAAGGAGTATAGTGTTTGTTTTGTTTTCAAATGTGAGGGGAAGCAAAGCATTTAAATGATTCATTACTTTATCCTCCCAACCATCTTTCACATTCTTACTGTGCTTCCTTTCCTCAATATAAAACACCACAGTTCTATGTGCCCTCTGTAACAGTAGCTTTGCCTTGTTAGAGAGGAGTCTCAAATGACGAACAGGCCATTTATAGAATGAGCCTTGTACGTGGGGTGGTACTAATTAGGGGTAGAAATAGACTAGTTCTCTGGCTTAGAGAGGCTTGATGCTAGGTTAGCTGTGGAAAATCTGAAAATTTCAGGTCGTTTCTCTTCGGCTGGAAAATCAACAAGTTCCCTAAGATTGTTCATAAGCCTAGTTACAAAAATTCTGCTCATTTAAAATGTTAGTGCTCCAGAAAGGACATCTCAAAGTTCTTGTTTCAAATCCTCTCAAAAGTAAATGAAATTAATCATCAGGGGTGTGTCTACACATTTGCTTTAATGTGCATTCACTTATTTGAATGTGCATTAAAGCGTCACTGAAAAAACCCTGTGCTATTTAGTTAACGCACATTCAAATAAGCTAATGTGAATTAAGTATCACTTAAAAACCATACTCTTTAGTAAATGCACATTAAGACAGGCTAATACACATTTTCCTACTACCTTACAATGGAGGTACTAGATTTAATGCGCATTAACTAAAGTGTATTAATGCACGTGTAGACACGCCAAGTCTGGAGTATTGCAGAATACACTGTTTAGAGTCTCTTGTGCTTACTACAAAGGTTCCCAGATTGCCAGGAAAATTAATTCTACATTTGATCTATGTTGAAAACCTAAGGACACTGTACTCTTGGCAATTTGCCAAGAGAATCATTCATTATTTGACTGCTTTATCCTACAGATACTTTATAAGGAGCAACAACAGCATCTCCCAGTAGGCTGTATTAGCTTCATGCTTGAGCCACATTTTGAGTGCTCTGATGAGCAATGAGTTTAGTTAAACACTTGATGAGTAGGAAAATAAGTAAAGTTTATGAGAAAATTCATAGTAGGGGATTCAGTCTACAATACTTAAGAGTAGCGACTCAGGTGTAACACTTGTAGTTTTGCAATAGATGGCCCATCACTGATTGATTTACTTTTCATATGGCAGCGTGACATTGTGAATTGAAGCAACAAAAGCAACTCTGCCTTGAAAGGACAATTCAGATTAGAGCAGGGAGTCTTGGGATTGTTTTTCCTTTTGCGTAAAACAATTTAAAGGGGGGGATGTCTCAGGTTTCTGGGTTTTGTTTTTTTCCTTTTACATAAAACAATTTAAAAGGGAGGCTGCCTTGTGAAGCATTCCCCCGCCCCCCCAACACAAATCAACTTTGGGAGGAGCAGGAATCAAAGTGGGGGGGGATGCAAGTGCACACCCTCTTCCCTGGAACTGACTCTGGCTTTAATATCTGTTCAGTTAAACAAAGGTTTTACTTTGCTGAGAGATGTCATATGATTTCAAGGGGGTGGAGGGGATGGTATAATTGTGAAGTGTGGGTAGCAGCTGTTTTGTGCTGTCATGACAAGAAGGGGCGATGCAAACTCCCTTTTAAATTATTTCAAACCTGCCTGCCCACCCCAGCCCCTCCATGCAGGGGATGGTGCCTGCCCAGGCGCCAGATCAGGAACACCAGCCGGATCTGGCTCAGGGACTGACAGTAAACAGGCCATATTCTTTGCAAGCCTTTGGGTACAAAAGATGGGCCAGGCCAGGCAGGAGAAGGAATCCCTGAGGAAAGCGGGGCTGAGGGGGGCCCTGCCCAGCCTTGCCAGGTCTCAGATATGAAATGATTGTATTGGAAGCTGAAAATGATCGTTAAGTGCTGTAAAAACTATTCTACCCTGAAAAAACATATATACAAACACGTCTCGAAATCAGCCTTGTTTACTTTCTATTGCTCACTGTAACCTTTCGGGAGCAGCGAGAAGCGGGTCATTGCAAGTCAAGCACGTCTTTACTCTCAGGAACTTGCGGACGCCCAGCCCAGCCCTCCCGAGATTTCCTCAGTGTGACTCGGGCTTTGCATCAGGGACGGGCTGAAACGCGCTGGGACGTTTTGCGGCTCTGACTAGTATTGATCGTGCGAGGGTTGTCTGACGGGGCGAGCGCGTCGTGCTCGTATCCCCACAGCGCTGCCCCGGCCCCGCTCCCCCCGGTGTGCGGGGCCGGC